GATTTTGTAAAGTAAGTGCTAATCATCCTTATTTTTTAGTGTGAATCCCGGGGAAACTTATTAAAAATAAAAGCAATAAAGACAAGGCACTTAAACTAGACAGGCAATGCTTCTTCAGCTCTGCTCCATCTGGCAGGCCCTTGACATTGGTCAATGGTTTCCCACCTTTCCTTCTCCTGGATCCATTCCCACTACGCTCCCCCGTGCACAAGCTGAAGCACCACCCTCTCACTGTCAAACACATTCTTAGAACACATTCTTCATATTCAGGTGCCAATGGCTGGCCACTTAAATTTCCTAGGAGGGGACTACACTTTTTTTTTTTTTTGGTGCAGGAATCAAACTCACGACCTTGCGCTTGCCAGGCAGGCATAGACTCACTAAGACAGGAGATTGAGGGGATTGTGGTCCAGAGGCTGACTTGCCTTCTCTGGCTGCCAGCCTCATCCAAAGTCTCTTCAGGAACCTCCTATCTCTCTTCCCAGGTGAGCAGGTGACCTGGAACCCAGTAGAACACAGGCGCGAGTCAGGAGGCCTTTGTCCTGGCAACAGTGCTGCCCCAACATGCTGTGTGGCTTGAGAGGGTCCCTTGTACTCTCTGAGCCTTGGTTTCCCTTTCTCCCAGATGAGGGTGTTGGGGGATATTTCAGATTCCTTCCAGATTCCTTCTACATGTGTGGCTCTGACGGGTGCAGTTGTCTGGTCTTTTAGAAGTAACTGCTCATACTTGGACAGCCTTACCATGGGCACTGTTCCAGGAGCTCCACACATGGACTCATTTGACGGTGATGGCCTCACTATGAGGCACTGCTCCTGCTTTACACTTAAAGAAACTGAGGCCCAGAGAAGTTAATTCACTTGCTCAAAGTCCCTATTCCAGTGTAGTACAAGCTGCTATCCCCAAACTTAGGTGTGTAACATAGCAGCCACTTACTCTGCGGCCAGGGGCTTGGGAAGAGCTGGGCAATTCTCACTGGGTGTTTCCCAGGCAGCTGCCAGCAGGTATCAGCAGCTGTGTCCAGATGTGCCCAGGCTGGACACCCAGAATGGGTCACTCATCCTTCTAGCAGCTGAAGCGAGGGCCACTTTGTGGCCTCTCCGGCGTGGAGGCTGGCTTGTTCCAGGGGATGGAATCTGAGTGAGACTGAAGAGGAATGTGCAGCACATTTCTGACCCAGCTTCCGATGTAGTGTATCCTCTGCATTCTAGCAGCTATGAGTCAGTCATTAAGGTTGATCCAGATTTAAGGGGAGGGGACACAGACCCCGCCTCTCAACAGGAGGATAAAGAACGTACACCTCATGTTTTAAGACCATCACAGCCACCTAGCTGATAAGTAGCAAAGCTGGACTTTGAACCTCCCCAAACTGGCACAAGGTCTGCATATTTAACTACCACACACAACCCATTTTCAACGTCTAGGCCTACTTCCCAAGACTCACTGCTGTCTCCCGGGCATTCCTCTTGGGTCCCTGGGACTCCTTTCCTTCCTCCAGCCAGTCTTCATCTCTCTTTTGCCCTTGCCCCTCCTCCCATGGGCATCTTTCCTTCTTCCTCATCTTAGGAAGCCACGCAGAGCAGGGGAGAGGGCAGAGACTAGGGAGCACACGGCCCCAGGCTCCAATCTCATTCCTCATTCCCTGTGACCTGGAGTAAGTCAATTCCTCTCTGGAAGCCTCAGTTCTTCATCTATAAATGGGGAGAGAGGTGTCAGGGTATCTCCTTTACAAGCTGGGATGAGAGTTGATTCATCTAACCAACAACTAGTTATTAAGTGCCAAACTTTTTGCCAGGGACTCTTCTAGGTTTAAGGGAGGGACAGAAGACCCTAATCAATCAGCAAGGAAAACTGTACACACACACGTACACATGAGAAAGATGTGTCAGATGGTCATAAGGGCCTAGAAAACTAAAACAGGATATGGAAGGTTTGGTGCTTCTGGGCGGGGTTTTTGTGACTGTACAAAAGGCAGAAGGGCAGTGAGGAAGGACTTTACCGGGAAAGTGAAATTTGAGCATAGATCCAGGAGAGTGAGCCCTGTGGCATTCTGGAAGGCAACGTGTCTCAGGTAAAAGGAACAGCAAGTCTAGTGGAGTGGGCCTGGAGCTGAATGAGCCATGGGGATGTGGTGGAGACGAGGAAAGAGAGGCCGCAGAGCCAAGGAAGTCAGGATCTTGTAGAACTTGCACTTTGAGTGAGATGGGAGCCACGGAAGAGTTTTGAGCAGAGAAGTGATCAGTTTCTTGATATGTTTTGGTCATAGAATTGATAGGAATCACTCACAGGTTGAATGGGGTGTGTGAGAGAAAGATAAAAATCAAGGATGGCTCCAAGATTTGTGGTCTATAGAAGTGGACAAAAATAGAGCCGCCATTTACCAAGATGGGGATGGTTATGTGGAGAACACACTCAGACATTGCACCTCGCTGCTCTCAAGATCCAGGCCTGGCTCCTGGGAAGGGAAGAGGGCATAGGAGCACCTCCCTTGTGTTTTCCATATGTGGTGGCAGAATTGTAAGAATGATCCAGCAATTCCTATCCTTGCATAATCTCCTCCTGTTTGAGTGCAGGTGGAAAGATATGACTACTGTGATTATACTGCAAGTCAAAGGATATCTCAGTTACTTTTCTCTCATTGCTGAGACAACATGTCTGACACCCAGAATTAAGGAAGGAAAGGTTTATTTAGCTCACAGTTTGTGGAGGTTTCAGTAAAAACTTGGCTGCCTCCAAGGCAGAGTGGCACATGGCAGAGGGTAACAGTTCATGGCGGCAGAAGATAGCAAAAGCAACAAGAGCAAAAAGGGAAGAGCAGCAGAGAGCAGGATCTTTCCCTTCCTTATACTGTATGCAAACTACCTACACCAGGGCTTGTGTAGCACTCACACCCATAATCCCAGCATTGGACCATGGATCAATCAAAAAACTCTAGAAGCCTACCCCATGACTGCATGAGGCTTTGGGAGGACATCCAGACACAAACCATAACAAAGGATATTAGACAGGCAAAGCAAACCTAACCACACAGCCTCTACCAGTAAAGCATGCTCTCAGGCTAGTAAGCAGAAGGAAGGTAGATTCAAAAAATGAGCAGGGTTCCACATTGTGATAGTGCCCTCAAGATGGATGGGACCATGTGAAAGGGCCAGAGAACCACTTCTAGGAGCTAAGAGGGTCTCCTGGCTGACAGCCAGCAAGGAAACAGGGACCTCAGTCCTACAACCATAAGGAACTGAATCCTGCCAATAACTTGAAAGATCTTAGGAGCAGATTCCTCTCCAATGGTTGCAGAAAAGAGCCTAATCTGGCCAATTCCTTGTGAGGCCCTAAGCAGAGAATGAAGCTGAGGTTGCACAGATTCCTGACTTACAGAATTGTCCACTAAGAAATGGTTGTTATTTTAAGCAGCTTAGTTGGTTGTACAGAAGAAAAAAAGTTCATGTTATCCTAATCCTTAGAACCATCCAAAATGGAGAGTTCTTCTCTCCACGATTTGGTTGAGGAAATAGATCAGTGAATCAGGGTTTTGCCCTACACCACCTGAGAACATAGTGCTGTTGTTGGGATTGAGACTCTGGGCTGTCCAAGCAGGCAGCTTCATAAAAAGAGGTGGGAGCTGCTGGAAAAGTGAAGCCCTGTGAGGCCTGGTTGGGGCGTGGGGAGCCCCTGGCCCTGGGTTAGGCCAGGAGTGTGGCCTGGGTTTTCCTTCCTGCTGTCTATCCTGGAGCTCTGAGTGTCTGCGACCAAGGCGTGAGTCTGAGGACTGTGGTCGCTGAGGGTGTATGTGTGGGACAGCGTGTGAATGTGAGCCTGCTGAGTGGGTCTCAGCGTCCTCCGAGTCGAGGGTATCTGCATCAGAATGTATCTGTCACGGGGGTGACTGAGTCAGGATGGCTGTGTCCTGGTGTGAGAGTGTGCACCCACGGACACGTGAGTGGCATTCAGGACTGAGGTGGTCAAAGCGGGAGGGGAAGGGAGTGTCTGTGAGGGTCAGGGCTGAGTGTTCCCCCAAGCACGTCTGTCTGTATGAAATGCAGGGTGCCTGTGAGTCTGTCTGAGCTGTGGGTCCTGAGGGATCCAAGGGTCTCCCCTGTGTGGGGGGCCGAGTGGCGATGGTGTCCTGCCTGTGGCGCCCAGCATGCCTGCAGGTCCCTGTGTACCTGTCCCAGCATGCCCGTTGGCCCATCCACCTGTGCGGGTCTCTGTGCGCGCCTGTGTGTCGGTGGGTTTGTCTGTCCAGGTGTCTATAGGTGACTCAGGTGTGTCTGTTAGGGTATCTTCACCAGGGTCTGCAGCGTTGGCAGTGCCTCCTGCGGAATGAGTGTATCCCTGTGGGTGTACGTGTGAATCTGCGGGTCTCTGCGAGGGAGCCCGGGGGCCAGAGGTGCTGCGCCGGTCTCGGTGTCTCTTCAGAGCGCGTCCGCGTCTCTGGGCGAGGCCTGTCTGGTCGGTGACTGGACGCCTGCATCTGGGGAGTCTGAGCACTGGGGTGGGGGCTGGGGCGGGCAGGGCTCGGGGCCCTAGGACCCCGCGCGAACTGCTGGGCCGCGCGCCTCCCGCCTTCGCTCGCACCTGCCGGGGCTGGGGGCGGCGAGAGGGGGAGCAGCCCGCATCCTCCCGGCTCCC